GAAAATGCACTTGCAAAAAATGTATATTTACGTGTTTCACACAAGCAATTAGAAAAGGAAATATTTCTTCAGTCAAACACTGTATCACCGTGAAGAAAAGATCGATCTTGATCAAAATTTCGGATAATGTTAGTGCTACCAAAGCATTGAGAAGATGTCTAAACTATACTTTTATGAGCACCCGTATTTTTGATAAATCACGATTCTTCATCTTATCACAAAAAACCTAGATTTGCAAAATCGTTTACGAACTTTTACAGAGGAAGTCCAAGGCGTCCATAGTGGATAGACCTTTGACTTCAACTTTGATCAAGCATCCCTCCTCATACTCAGTTTTTGATGCTGAATGTGAAAAGACACTTCCAAAAAGTTAAAAGAACGAAAAAGAAAAAAATTTGATGGTTTTTAGAAACTGAAGAATTTTTCGAAATTAAAAACTCGAAATTTTTCAACTTTTCGACTCGAAAGTTTTTTTTCAAACATTAAAACACATATTTTCTTCTCCAGATCGACGAGCTCTATCCAACCATGTATAAAAAAAATGCAAAAACAAAAATCTGCTGAATTTTCAAATTTCCGGCATCTGAACAACTCTTTGATTTAAGTAGTTGAACACATTGATGTCAAGACGATTGATGATGTTCAGTTTTTAGCTTATTTTCCCAACTTTATTCTCGGAAGAAAAAAATAGTTTTACAAATAACAATTTTACTATAAACACGTAATGCTTAAGGCCATATGGATTTATTCCATATCGAGTTACGTGCAAAGTTTAATTAATGTAAAAAAGCTAAAACTATTGTTTATATTGTCAACGTTAAAGTCCTTCAGAATTAACTTTAGTAGTCCCTCCTTCGAATGTCTTGTTCCTGTTTGTACTCATTATATTAAACATAAAAGCAAAAAGCAGGAAATGCGCCTACAGGTGGTCGTACAGGTTGAGGAGCGAAACTTTGTTGTCCATATCCTGGGTGCTGTTGATAACCGTAGGATGAACTAACTTGTTGTTGTAATCCGCCATATTGTTGATATCCACCATATTGTTGTTGACCATAATTGTTTGGTGCATAGCTCTGTTGCACGTATCCGCTTGAATAAGAAGGAGCCGCTTGAGCATAGTTCTGAGTGTACCCTTGTCCATACTGTTCATAGCCTCCCGTTCCAACGCCTGCTCCGTACGAACTTGATCCAATTCCTGCGCCGTACGAACTTGGTCCAATTCCTGCGCCGTACGAACTTGATCCAACTCCTGCGCCGTACGAACTTGATCCAATTCCTGCGCCGTACGAACTTGATCCAATTCCTGCGCCGTACGAACTTGATCCATAAGATCCATAGCCACCGTACTGCGATTGTGCCTGTCCTAGTGTTCCAAAACTGCCACCTTGTTGCAGAGTTCCGAAGCTTCCACCTCCCACATTGAGACCACCTGCACTTCCTCCAGATGAATAACCTTGGCCACCATAGCCTTGCTGTTGTCCGTATACTCCTCTTGGTGGGACACGAAGAACTTTTTTAATAACCTGAGGTGGTCCTGCAGGTTCAACAACGGTTCGCTCACGTACTTGAGGTGGTGGAGTGGTAGGGATTTCAGTTATTTCTTCGATTATTTCACCGGCTGAACTTTGAATATAAACTCTTTCCAATGTATCTGGTTCAGGCGTAGGCAGACGATGACGAACCTGGCGCACTTGTCCCTGTCCCTGACCTGGTAGGCGAATCACTTGTCGTCGATATCGCCCTTGTCGTCGACGGCCATTTTGAAATGTCGCACTGCCCTGTGATCCACCACTAGCACCATAGGAGCCACCATAACCCGAGGCAGCACCACTGAAGCCACCACCGACTGCTCCACCATAACCGCCACCATAACCTCCATTAGAAACGCCAAACTGGCCTCCATAGCCGCCCTCCGATCCATACTGTGAATGAGAGTAGCCGTCATAGCCTCCTGTTTGATATTGTCCCCGAAATCCTGATGGTTGTTGCTGATGGTATCCACCAGAATATACACCTCCTTGATTTGGTGCGTATTTATATTCACGTACAGTAGACGAACTACTCGTACTTGTTGTTGATCCACTTCTCTGTACTTTGCGGCGATCTCGTGTTTGATAATCGTAAGGGCCCATTATGAGTTTGAAAATTTTATTGATGTTCTAAAATAAATTCTCGTACAGTCTCTCTTACAAACAAACTCGATATTAAAATATGACTCATTAAAAAAAATTCAAGTTTTTTTTTCGTTGAATAAAACTTCGATCATCTCGATGAATTTTATCTTATAACATAAAATTGGTGAATAAGGGGAGTTTTTTTCTCCGAATCTGATATACTAATTCATCTCTTATAAGCTTTGTTAACTCAGTACGCGTCCGGAAGCAGAGATACTCTATTTGTTACTTACCAGTTATAAAAAGCTAAACTAATGCGACACACACTGTTGGGTATCTAACCAGGTATGGACTCCTTCTAAAACGTAATATCTTCACAATAAAAGACATTTACAATCGATGATGAATAAAAACGAAAAAAAAATATCGAATTTTAGAAGGCCAATAGATAAATGATTAATGTTTATTTTTTCTAATAGTTATGCGTTAAACTATAGGTTTATTTCAATGACAAATGGGTGGAAAAAGTAAGATGATCAGAATGAGAGATGAAAAAAACATGAAAATATATTTTTTGGTTGATAACCAATCGATCAGTGTGGTTAGTCGCCATACGTTTTTTTCATGAAAAAAAACAAAAAAAATCAATGAAAATGACATACCGTGACATCGAAAAACTTTTTTGCGGTATAGCACCTGCACCTGTGTGCACAGTTTAGATATTTTTCTTCTTCGACAATATTAGCCACAAATCATTTTCCTACAGCACATAAAAAGATAGTTTACAAACCAAATTTTATCGTTGTTTCTTATATTTTGCTTGAGCTATGCCTGACGATGTTTCCTGCAGCGCATGAGAGATATTTTGTGCGCTAGAGCGCATAAAAAAAAGAGAAAAACAAATGTCTTCATTTTGATTATCCGATGTAAATAATCTTGAAATACCGAGACCATATTTGTCTTTTTCAGGCTATTGTTCATCAAACATAAACAGTACTTAAGATCTACCATTTATCACATCACAACTACATATAAAGTTGATTAATCATTAAAAGTTGAGACTCTTGTCGTAGTGAACAGTCAAATTATTTACTCTCCTAATAACAATCTAATACTAATTAATAAAATATAAATAAACGTATAAACAACACTCATACCAAGGATATTTTTTTTATTAGACAAATTACCTTGGTTTATTTATACAACAATGCACGTTCTTTCGTCAATGCAACGTTAAACACTCGACATAGTCATCATTTCTCTAAGGAAGTATAACTAGAAAAAGCTAAAAGCTATGTCCGTGTGTTCGAATCTCTGTTTGTACAAAATTGATTTGTCTTTTTCGATAGTTTTAGTTTAGAATACTATAACGAAATTTTTTTTGCTTGTATTATAAAAGAATAAAGTTTATATCAAATATAGCTAACTACATTCCACAAAACACATAGTCTCCCGCTTATGAATAACGTTTCAACCATGAGACTGTCGTAAATATAATTGTGAAATCCATTATGTATCAGCTTTCTCTGATGCTAGCTTAGCTATAAAATTTTCGATGCCTTTAGTCAAAATTTCGAAATAGAGAATTTCATAGCTGTATTTAATCTACATGTTTCATCTTAACAAAGTTTAATGAAATAGATGTAAAAACAATCTATTGACTACTACGATCTATATATAAACTGAAAAAAATGTTTATTCGTTTCTTTGAATCTTACAGAGATGGATTCGTCTAAAATACAGAAACTTAGTCATATCACACTTCAGAAAGGCGAACATATAAAAATAAAAAGTTGATTCTTTGTTTAAGGTGAAAAATTTTATAACAGAAATCAAGATTAAAATCACCTTTTCGCATGTTGAAATGACCATTTCAAAATGAGACGTTTCAACATGCAAAAAGATGATTTTAATCTTGATTTCTGTTAAAAATAAAAAGTTTGCACACCTTTCACAGATACTGTTACTGCATGACATTTCCACTTATTGATTATCAGTTCAGACGATACTGTCCATGTGATCAATTTTTTTTTGCAAACCTTTGCAATTTACTTCAGGAAGCTTTGGAACAGTGTATATATCTGCATGCTATTTAAATGGAAAATAATATATGTTACCCCTGATCGAATTCTTCACAGTTGAGTTACACTGTGAACATTTTGGATTTTTTCAGACTCTAAGCAGATAAAAGTGGTGTAATCAAACAGTAAAAAGTAGTCAAAAATAACTAAGTCAAGAGCGATAGATCGACCGAATCTATCTTTTTCTGTAAAGATAAATATAAACAACTAGATAACAATCACGCTGGGCGAGACTTGCTAATGCGGTGCGAAGCGAAACATTTGCATCACAAGTTAATCGTCATGGAAAATGAAACTTTTTCTGATCTAGGGATAAAAAAGACGCACCTGGTTGCTATAATGCGGTTCACAAGTCGACTTTCTTGCTTCATTCACAGCGCGAACGTGGATCTTGCTAAAATCGCGCAACTCACGCTGCGATCGCCAAAAAGTCGCCGTTGTCGCGGTGCGATCGCGATCAATGTTTATTTTACAAAAAATCTGCGATTCGCGATCACAAAGCCGCGTTAAGATAACTTTTTTGGTTAAGTTTTAAAATCGCTGCGCGACCGCGCGTTTTTCTTGAATTCGCTCCGCGATTCGCTATCGCCTCGGTGCGATTTTGTTATACTTCTTAAAAATGAAGAACTAAGAAGAATCTCTCACTGTAAACCTCGGCGTTTTTACATCACAATCAAGTCGACTTTCTTGCGTCATTCGCCGTGCGAACGTGGTTTTGACTTCGCGATCCCGTTACATTCACTCAGCGCACGTCCCGATCGCGTTCTACTCTTACCAGAGACCATCGCAGGGGAACTTTTTTCGCCCTACCCTGTCAGAAAATTACTCATAAAATTTTTTAGCCCTTGTCTGGCTGGGCAGGACTAGAGGTCTGCGGGACCAAACGTTTTTGGTCTCGGTCCCATAAACAAAAAAAAGTTTTGGTCCCAGTCCCGGTCCCGTGGAAAGAACTCATTTTTGGTCCCGGTCCCGTGGTTCCATAAATATTTTTTCAAAGAAATTTTTTTACTTCATACAAGACTATTTTCAAAAAAACCTGATCGCGGTCCTATTAAAAGGATCGGGACCGTCCCGCAGACCTCTAGGTCCCGGTCCCGTAAAAAGTCCCGCAGGATCGGAACTGGGACTGTCCCGCAGACCTCTAGGCAGGACGCCCTACAGTGCAAAAGAAAGTTTTTCTCATTAACCTAGAAGACTTTATATATTCAAGAAACTAATTACAAATACTGGATGTGTTTCTCGTGCGTAACAGAATCCTTTTTTTTTTATTAATTATCAATTTTAGAAAAGTTAGCTGTCATTTTTATTTTCATATACACGAAAGATCCCAAAATTTTACTTAAAAAGAAGTTTGAAAATCCGAAAAATCAATCTCTCGCAGAGCAAATCAAGGAATTTTGTGTCACCCTGCCCGACAGGACAACAGGGCAGCCCTGTCCTGCGATGGTCTCTGACTCTTACAATGTCGACATAATACATAGTCAAGGCACGACTTCGGTACAAATCCTATTCACTGTTTCGTTTTCCTTAGACGCCTAGTATATAACTCCCACTGATTTTCGACAAACTTTCAAAATCTTCTCATATTTTAGTAATTAATTACCGTCAGAAGTGAATAAAGGTGATATCGCGGCGCAACTAATATAAGTCTCGCGTCGCGAGCTTGAGAATCATCCGCGTTCGCAGTACCGTGACTCATTTATTGTTAGTCAACGAAAAACATGAATAAACAGCGATCGCGGTAAAATATTCGAGAGTTAAGATTGACTTTTGTATGAGCGTGAGAAAATCTCTAAAAACCGCATCTCATTTCGCGAGTCTTACAGCGAACGCGTTACGCGATCTCGGCGCGGATTTTTAAAGAGACTGGCGATAAGAAAGTGGACTTGAGTTATGCTCCGCCACGCATTAAAAATGTAAGTAGAGATATATCTCAACCACACGCATGTCCATCTACTAATGCTAGAATCTTACTTAATTGGATTCTTTCAAACAGTAACTACTATAACTGCCACTATGATGGTTTCTCTTAAAAATAAAAGCATTCTGTAGTGATTGAATTAATAGCGTTTTCACGCTAATATTGCGAGCAACTCCAGTGCACTAATTAGTTCATTCGTATCTAGCACTTTAGACCAAAACCAAATCGGAAAACCACAAAAACTTTTTTTATATCTTCAAATATCTCCAAGTGCCATATATCGATCGCAACAGTTTCTTTGTAATGGGTTATCTGATTGCGCATGATATTTGAAACAATGTTATTTTTTTTATAATGCCATTTAATGCACTAATAGTGCTGTGCATCTACAAAATAACTGCCAAAAGCGACATCTTATCTACATCTTTCTTCTCTACTACCATTGATCGAGATATTCTACAACCAACTGCTACTTTCTATTAGTTTCACATTGACGATGCTGACTAGTTTTAGAAATTTTAGTTGTAGAATATCTTGATCACCATCATTCAACAATTTTTCCGTCATATCAATTGAGCTCAATGAAATTAATCTGAATCAGATTATGGATTAAGATAAGATATGAATTTACTATACTTGAGCTATCACGAAATCACCATTAAAAAATTACATTTTCCAATATTCAGATAGGCCAGCTAATATATTTCTTAAGTTCGCATTTGTCAGTTTATCAAGAGGATACTGTACAATGAGTTTCAACTGTACCCATCCTTATATGTTATGGGCACAGAGAATTGAAATGTATTGCGCTATACGGTTTAAGATATGACCAGCTAAACCAAATCGTCAGAATCCGTGTAAAGAGTAGAAAAATTGCGTAAATTGCAAAGCATTCCTTTAATTTTTTGTTCCTGACCATTTCGATTGATCACTTTCAATTTGGAACTTATTCTATTTTAACCCTGGAGGAAAATGGTGAACTGACTTCAATCAGAAATCAGGAAAAGTTTTTCTTTTTCTCAATAAGCTAAATTGATATCGTCTCAGTACGACCTCTCTTTGAGTATTTTCAACACTTTTCTGTGAAAGCAAAGACTTCATCGAATGAATGAAGACAACTTTAAATAGGGTTTCTTTTCTTTGTTAACGGCTGATGTTTTCTGCCTTTTGTGAAAGATTCTATACAAAATGGGCTACTGAAGGACGAAGCTTTACAGATGTTGAATGAGCGCTGGTGTGAAGCCAGCAGAAAGTGATGCTAGATTACGTTGAAGAAAGGATTGCATGAAACTATATTCCTTGGGGTTATGATACGCTGATGTGAGTCAAAAAATATCTATACCAGTGGAATCTGAGTCTCAATTTTGTCGTGTCTTTATCGAGCGCTCATATTTTGGAAACAGCACAGAATCTTTTTCTAAAACTTTCAATTAGGAGACACGTAGTTTTTTATATAGCACAAAATATTCTATGAGCTAAGTATCAAAGATTTTTTTTAATCGTAATCGAGAGTGTCTGTGATACTGTTTTGTTTGTGAATAATGCTCAAACCGTTGTTAATTAAAGGATATTCGTTCATTATGTAGACTAAACGCTTTTTAATGATCTAATGAATGATTCTATATTGCCTTTTTAGATTCTACATGTAAGCACTGGTGTAATAAAGAACATTTCTTACCTGAATATTACTCTTGTGTTAGTCAACATTCCCTTTATAATTGCTTATCATCTCATTTTAAAGTAATTAGGAGAAGAATAAATCATCAAAATAATACCAGGTATGTTTAGAGTTTTTTTCCTTTGAGATACTATCAGTAAAAATGTTTTTTAAATCTATTGCGCTTACTCTCAAGATTCCTTCGACTAACTTGGTGATGAGAGTATCGTTGCCTTCGATTCAGACAGTCTCATTCATCGTGATCGAAGTATTTTATCAGTGCCTTTTGTTTATTTATTAAAGAGTTGATCATTCTTCCCTATATGTATTTTTAGAGATTTCGAGATGTTGATTGTTGATCATGGTTGACGAAGCAACAACATTCACTTTGGCATCCTCACATCCACCACTCGCTGCTGCATTAGACGGTTTTTTTGTTAAACAATCTCCTCCACAACCACCACTTGTTTATCAAAATCATCATCATCAACCAAATGATTATTATTTTTTTCAACAACAAAACCAGCAACAGCCAACAACATTGAGTAGTTTTTATAGCCACCCACCACTCGAAGAAGCAGATGAAGAAGAAGAAGAAGATGCAGCAACGGCGATGCCTCGACAAGCTCATTTTGGTCTTGTTCATGATGATGACGAAGAGGAGGACAATACCAATCATCTTTTAAATAATCATTTAACCCCTGTAACAATTCAACGTGTCGATTCACTTGATGAACAACATCTTTATCTTAAAAAGAAACGAGCAAAATTTGTTGGTCCCTATTTATTCGGCGATGTTATTGGACAAGGTTCATACGCAAAAGTAAAAGAATGTTTAGATAAACGAAATTTATGTCGACGAGCCGTGAAAATCATGCAACGACGACGTTTACGTAAAACACCACAAGGTGAAAAAATGGCTTATACTGAAATTCGTATACTGAGAAAACTTAAACATCCAAATGTCATACAATTGTATGATTTTATTCGAAATGATGAAAAACAAAAATTATATCTATTTATTGATCTGTGCGTTGTATCATTACAAGAAATGTTAGAAGAACAAGAAAAGCAATCAAATCATCTAATTAAATCATTTCCGACATGGCAAGCACATGGCTATTTTATTCAACTTATCAATGGTTTAGAATATCTCCATACAAAATTTATTATTCATAATGATATCAAACCAGGCAATTTATTAATAACGGTCGATCATACGCTGAAGATTAGTGATTTTGGAACAGCAGAGGAGCTAGATATATTTAGTGTAGATGATACAATTAAGCGGAGTCAAGGTAAGAATTGTGATTAGATAAAAGCTATTTAGATAATATAGAAGTTAGACAAAGTATTCTATTATTGTAATACAATTCTTAGATGTTAGCATGAAGGTGTTTTTTCTCTGCTTCATAATATAATAGTTTATAATATATTTTTAGGTACACCGGCATTTCAATGTCCAGAAATCGCTAATGGCGATGAAACTTATAATGGTTATTGTATTGATATTTGGGCATGTGGTGTAACATTATATAACTTGGTAACCGGTCTATTACCATTTGAAGCAGATAATATCTATTTATTATTTCAAGTGATTGGTTTTGGAAAATTTGTTACTCCTGATGATATCGAACCAAATTTAGCAAATCTAATTAATGGTTTATTATGTGTTGATAAAACAAAACGTTTAACTATCGAACAAATTAGACAACATGAATGGTATAAACGACGGCCACCCAAAACATTTGATTTTGTTCCGTTTCCAAAAATGGCTCTGAATCGTTTTCAAACACTAACAATGTACGATTATTTAGTTGATTTACATCAACCGTTAGACGAACAAGAAGATAAAGATGAGGATGAAAATTTGACTGAAATTGAACGAAAGTATGCAAAGTATAATATACAACAAGCAGAAACAAATAGTGGTGAAATAAAAAGACCAACATTCCAGATAGAACCCGAAGACGATAATGAGAATGAATCACATTATCATCGACGGCGACGATCGAAATTAAATTGTGGATCAATGCGTTGTACAAGAACAAATCGAACAACAACGGACAATAATAACGGTGGTAGTAGTAATATGGATGACGAATCAATAATAACAACGAAAAAAAAACGTACACGTGATCATAGATTGTGTGCTTTGTCATAAATTGGGCTTTCACCTTGAATTTTTTTGTATTTATTAGAATAAGTTGTTTCATCTAATTAACTCGGAGTCTTTTGAAGTGAAATCTATACGTCCAGTTTTCTTGTACGAAACAAGCATTCCCCCCATCCTGTGCAGTTGCGGATGTGAGTGGCGGGCGATAAAGAATGTCCCGGCATAAAAACTTCATGAGACTCCGATGATGACCGTTGTACTCCGTATTCTCCTTCATTTTTGCTTTCATACATTTTTTTTCGTACGTAGAATTAGTTATCATTACGTGGGTCCTTTTATCTTGATGCATAACAGAACAACGGTCTCTCTCGACCTGACATTTTTTCTCTCCACTCTACACATTCCGGTCATACGATGCAAGGATTCAATGACAAAGTTTGTAAGATATCGAATTTATTGTTTTTTTCCAGTAACTTAATGTTGTTGCGCTTTATATAAGCGTATCTGCTTATATAAATATGGTCGTGTTGTTTTGTCGTCGTTGTCGTTGAAAAATACTCTAATGATTGAATCTTTATTTTTTTTACTTTTTTTTGAAACAAAGTACTGATAGAACAACAAAACACATTTTGTTCTCGATTGTTTTTTTATTGTATAAATGTCTTTGCGCATGTTTTATTTTTGATTGAACAGTCGTTTTTTGTTTGTTTGTTTTATTATTAGGAAATATGGTCCCAATGGTTTGCTCGGATGATTATTTTTTATTTTTTGTCATGAAGGCTTTTCATTGCTAAATTTTTCTTTGCTCTCTCTCTCTTTCTCTCCTTCCGAAATAGTTCATTTTTTTTTGTTATTACTTGCCCTTGCTAAAATCAGTTGTGATTTCATGTATGCATGGTTGCGTGCGTATGTGTACATCTTTTAAACAGAAGGCAAAAGAAAATATAAATCAGACAAAATAATATGTAGAAAATACGTGATAAATAGTTTTTGTTGTTGCTGTCAGTTTGAAGAGTCAAACAATTGTGAAAAATAATTTTAACGTACTTTCACAAAAAAAGAATTATCTAACCCTCTATGAATCATATGATTTACTGGATTTATAAATGTCACTAATAGATCTCTTTCTTTTTTCAGTTTGTTTCTAATTTTCAGATAGTATTTTTTAAAACTTTGGCTAAATACTGTGAAGGAACGTGATTTATCAAAAATGTGGATGCTCAAAATAATATATTATTTATCAGACACCAAATGCCAAGAAAATATTATATAAAAAAATATCCTCTGAGTCTTTGTCATGAAACAGCATTAAAATATTCGAGAAGTATTTAATCAAAAAATAGTTACGAGTCGAAAATGTATATTTACGTGTTTCACACAAGCAATTAGAAAAGGAAATATTTTCTCAGTCAAACACTGTATCACCGTGAAGAAAAGATCGATCTTGATCAAAATTTCGGATAATGTTAGTGCTACCAACGCATTGAGGAGATGTCTAAACTATACTTTTATGAGCACCCGTATTTTTGATAAATCACGATTCTTCACACTATTTAGCAAAGTGTTAAAGAAATACTATCTAGAAATTATCTGCAAAATCTCAACCAAATATTGCACAATGTGTACCAAGATTTGAGTATACATGTATATATAAAGAATCCTGAATTGGAAAAACTTTCTTATATGACACTCCTTTGTATCATACGGCTCGCTACAACTATCAACATGTTATACACAAATGTATAGAATATATTATCAACGAGAAACTTCAGTCGACAGCGACTCTTCAGTGTCAAAAACTGTTTTATTTGCATAAAATCTGTTATTGTAATGCCGCTGTGTAGATCTTCCTAATCTGAATTCATTCATTCATTAGAATTGTTGGCTGCTATGCGTTCAAGATCTTGCATAGAGCGAGGAGGAAAAGTCAAATATTTGTAACAATACAGAGTGTGATTTAATACTTTAGAAAATTTCCAGTATAATGAGATATATAACTTCCAGTAAAGTTTGGATAAATCTTAGTTTTAGTACGACTAGAAAGACTATTTTTTAGTAAAAAGAAATGAACTTCGTAACACGTCATCATAACAACAACTTTTTGCAAAAAATAATCAGAAAGACAGAAAATATTTGAACATCTTAAAATAAGTAAAAAAGAACGTTACCTGCTGATTATCTGCTTTTATCCCACTGATACTATAGAGAAGACACGTATTTTGAAATGAAGCTGATATAAAACAGAATTCGATTATTTGAAAAGGAAAAACAAGTTCGTATTTTCCCCATTAACACATAGATGAATTCTTGTAAATGTTTTAAGGATTTTCAATTAACACTAGCAATTCACTTTATTTACCGATTTCAACTACATTTAAGCAAAACAAACGGTTTATTAGTATAGCTCGACAATCTACAGTCTCATTTAGATATGCACGAGTTACAGAAGGATGGGGGCAAATGGACAATTGCCCATTCCATTTGGAGATTTGCCCATTTACTGTTTCAGAATTGTTTCTTTATTTTTGAATTAGATAGTAAATGTAATTTTTTTCTTCCGTCTGAATCCCACATGCACTCTTTGCTTGTTAAAAACTAAAACACACCTCACTTAGGCTTAGAATTTGAGCCTGATGTATATTTCATTAAAAGAACCTCATTTCATTTTCAGGTTTCTGCAAGACGTGGAATCCTAGCTATACACAAAAAGATCGGTCCCGGCCCCCCCAATGCTTTGTTGGGCCAAAAAGTCTTTGGCCCATCCATAAAAACTTTGCCCATTCTGCCCATTGTTTTTTCCGACACAATAGAAGTTTACCCTTTGGTCTAAAAATTCTGGTTACGCCGTACCTGTAACTATCAAAACTACTTTAAATCATTCGTAAATAAAAGGCTAGTCTTTCATCTGGTACCAATTATTATTTCCAATAATCGTTTATAATACAATTTAATTTAAGATTTTGTAATCTTTTACATAGTGTTAAGATTCAACACGAAACAATTGGAAATCTTACTGATCGAAGTAGCGATCACAACAAAATTATAGGAGTAATAAAGTCAGTGCTGAGGGCTTTTGTTTAGGGAGTGGAACACTCCTCGTGCGTATGATTCCACGCGCATGTTTTCTCGTGCGCTTGAATCCGTGCGCAACATTGTTTGTGTGCATCGTTCCGGAACTCAGCAAAACGCTCAGCATTCTCTTATCGCTTTAATAAGTGATTATTTTGGCAAAAGAAGCCTTTTTATGAGCGATGTCTGTTAAAAACTTGGATCTAGACGAAAACCGTGTTCCACATGCTTTTTCGGGTTTTCACTTGTCTTATCAAGCACTACGGAAACTGTAAGGTGAGATCTTGCCGATTCATACTTTCGTATAAGTTGGGGCTGCGTGAAAGATCTCTCGGCGTATGTTAGCTAACGATTTTGTCGCCGATGTAAACTACCAGAAAAACTTTATTTTTCAAAGAACATAATTAATTATTGTGAATAAACTAACTAAATGATGATGACGTTTATTTAAGACAAATATTATGAGCTAGATTATTGATTGATCAATTATATCTGTATGTGGATTTAACAAACGTTTATCTAAATGTTATTTCTTTGTTTTTTGTATTGATTCTCTTAGTGTTGGTGTGTAAAATTTTTGTACGAATGGCCGAATCTTCCTCATCACGTAATTTGTCAATGAATTTTCATAATGTTGGATTAACATGTATGTAATGTTAAATTACATGCATATAAATGATATTGACAGTTAAAACGTTTATGGTTCTCACAGTGCCAGTACGTTTTTATATTCGTTTGCGATCTTTTACATATGAATACCCGCCGTCAATCATCAGTGATCGATCTTTCATAGTTAAACTCATTTCACGTTGAAAAGTCATAGTACAGCAAATTTCGAAATCGTATAGTAGTATAGCACTATATTGCAGTAAACTATATTTTATAGTATTATATTGTTTACGAAACATCATCGTTTAGTTAGTTTATTCACAATGATTAATTATGTTCTTTGAAAACTTTAGATTAAAAAGAAACGCTCTGATTACAGAACATCATCACTTTGATTTTCTGTCTCATTGTGTGATACGTGTACAAGCGTCCGTGCGTAGGATTCCGGTGCGGAACATCCGTCGTGCATCAGGTACCCGTGCGTATGATCCCACGCGCAAGTTTCTTCATGCGCATGAATCCATGCGCAACATTGTTCGTGCGCATCGTTCCTAAATCCGTTTTTAGTTGAAGTTATCTTAAGATAATATTATTAAATGACTTGTTATATCAGAGCCGTTTTAAGAAATTTGTGGCCCCTGTGCTGATCATTAACGTTTTCAACACATCAATTTGTATTATTTTAATAATAAAATGCAAGGCTTAAGCCGTTGGATTGGGCCCCTGAGTCAGCCGGGCCCCTGTGCTATAGTACAATTAGCACATAGGATAAGAAGGCACTGAGTTATATAAATGAAATATGAGTTACACGCATGGTTTGATTGAAACTGGATAAAAAAATGAATAAAAGCCATCAGAACAAGCTAAAAACCAACATAACAGTGCATATTCTACTGACACTAAATCGAGCTATTTCAACCCCAAAAAACAGGGTTTTTTTAGACATAACAGAAGGCCCTCCTGAGAGTTGTGTGATAAGCCGTAATATAAACTCGGGCCCTCTAATGTGTCACCCCTTTACTTCAGGAATAAAGCCAAGCACCGACTTTATTACTCCGCTAATTTACACATTGTTTTCAGATCATCTAAAACCTATAATTTTGTTATTATCGCTAGTTCGATCAGTAAGTTTTCCAATTGTTTCGTGTTGAATCTTAACACTATGTAAAAGATTACAAAATCTTAAATTAAATGGTATTATAAACGATTATTGGAAATAATAATTGGTACCAGACGAAAGACTAGCCTTTTATTTACAAATGATTTAATCTTACGCTGCGTCAAATGTTTTTCAAAAATTTGAAATCTGCATGATCGATAGTGGAAGTGTTGAAAATCAAGTGCTCTCTAAAAAAACATCCAACGAAGGGTAAATACGCTCTTTTGATTGGGTGAAATATTTGCTGTGCACATTGAAGTATTCTGGTTTGATAATGCGAGAAAAGTCACATAATATAATACACTGTCCCGAAAAAGTACGGTAAAAGTATGTTGATAGCATGGAACAAATGTGTCGGTGGGACGGTAAAAAATTAACTAGCATGGTTTACCAATATCATTGGCGCACTTTAACCGTGCCATCAGAAGAAGTGTGCTGTTGGAACGCTTTTTAATATGCCGTTCGGTGGTATGCTTTGTATGTAATAAAAGCACAATTTATTTACAATTTTTATAGCGCATTTAAAGTGTGAAAATAGCATACAATCAATGGGTTTTTCCCATAGCATCCCGAGGTTTACTGTTTTCTTCAGTAATCCAAATAAAATATGCTTGATTTCGCCGAGTTTTGGATCTGTAGATATAATACACTTTTTGGAGATAAACATATTACAGATTGTGTAGCTTAAGCCATTCAGTCGTAGCATACTTTTAGTGTATTTGTGATACGTCTTTTATTTCGTAAGATAGTAGCCTAAAAAGCGTGTCAGTCAGATAAAATATTCACATGTACTATACATACAATGTTTCAAGAGAATTTTCAAAACTATGCTTTTATTGTATCTTAAAGTATGAGTCGTTAAAAATCAACAAGATCTATAGTTGATTTTATTAGCATAGAATTTTTCTCATTTTCTTTTCTCATAGATATTCAATTGCATCATGTAAACGATAAGTATAGGAATGCTAAAATCCCTTATATCAATATCTCGTCCTCACATTTGATTCCTTCGCTTTTATTGCGTAAATTAGCACTACACTCATTAAAAAATTATTTAGATTTAACAAAGATGATGAACGTCATTGTCACAATCATACATCAGCTAACATATAATGAATAAACGGTGATTTTTTTTTGACATTAAAACGATTACTCAGATGTACAATGTCACATTACAAACATAATATTATCATTATAGATGTAATTGAACTTTGATATAAAAAAATGAATTGTGGACGTTCAACGATTACCATTTTTAAATGATTACAGTTTTAAACGAAAAGTTTGTGTTATAAAATAAAAGTTTTAGAATAATGACTGTTGAACTAAGACAATTAATGCTTTTCTTCATTTACTACAAACAAACAAAACTGGAATTTTGATATGATGATGCTGCGTTTTTAATAACCTTTTTTTACATTGTGTTGTAGAATGAACTTGTGGTGCATAATATTACAGCCATTAACTGATGAATTAAGTACAGATTTTTATCTTCTGAACGTTTTTTTCTTTCTCTTTGTGGTGAAATTCGATCATGAAAGTGTGAGGATACCGACAATCAACATGCTCACACTCGTTCTTAATGATTTTAGATTTTGTAACTAACTGACAGCTAAGACGAATGACGGAGGAGTCTCTCGAGGAGAGAGTTGGAAGCGATGGCATAGAAATCAAGAGCCAAAATATAGAATTCTTACGTTCTGTTTCTCAAACATTAAGAAATTTGGATGATGCCATTAAGCATTCCATTGAACAATTAAAAATTTTCAATAATGAAACAATGACAGATTTAACATTGAAATTCGAACAAATGAGACATAATGAAGTAAGTTCAACATAAAAGTATTTGTTCACGTATTACCCTGTCAATTATTATTTAGAGTCGTGTAATAGGATTATTTGCTCATCAAATTTTACAGTTAAGAAAAGATGGACAAAATGGTGAATTCAAAAGCGAATATCCAAAGTTAGATCGTTTTCTAACCGGTAAAAAAATGCATTGAATTTAATTTTCAATTATAAATAATCTCTTTCTACTTTTAGCAATTGGTCTCAGTGAAAAATCAATCGAAGTGAGTTATATTCTAATTTTTTGATTTCTTATAGACTATTAACTTTTGTTTTTGTCAATTTTTTAGTACATTGTTCGTTGTACAATATTTGAAGATTTATTTGATGATTCATCACGTGAAAAATTACTTTATGATGCTCAGACAACAGAAACGGAAAGAAACGATTTTAAAAGTGCACTACAAGCATTGAAAGACTGTATAGGTAATATTTATATTTCGATTATTTTACTTGTCACTTCAGTCATTGCAACCTAAATCTGCCTTGAAAGCTCTTGCAGTAGGTTTTTAAAAAACAAATATAAAACACCAATAAAAAAATTACGCAAAGACTGCTTCTTTTCGGTTAGAAATACAAATTGAAACCGATGAAAACCTCTCGGAAACGAACAGAAAGTTATAAAATAAATTCTTTTACTTCGTAATAGTTCAATTAGAAGAACCGTTTTTTTTCTTCTTTTAGAATATTTTTCTCACGAAGGCGGAAAAAATGATGACGGACGCTTTTTCTGGCATGCTGAAAAGCCACCATCATCCTCTGCGTCGTTACCGCAGACTGTTCGTCAACATCGTTTATCAGATACCGCCTTACCAGTACCACCAAACCCCGATACAATGCGATCAAATTCTGTCTCATCTATATCAACAGAATTAAGCACCAATGTAGTAAATACCCAGTTATCTTCGCCACTACATGTTCGTCGTAGAGCAGGTTTATATTTATTCTTTTCTTTTTTTTAATATAATAGGTCGATTTGTTTTGTGTGTAGGATCAAACATAAATACTCCACCGCCATCGCGTTCAAATCATTTATGTGTCAAAGATAGAAGTAAATGTGAACATCCAAGTAAAAAAAGTTCCGTTGATCCTACAGCGTTTATGAGGTAAATATTTTAATTTGGTTCATAGATGTGCTAGTTTATCGATGCTTTATTATTTATTTTAGTAGTACCAGAAATTATGATCTTCAATTACCAGACGGTACCCCATCAAGAAGAAGTTCCTATGGTTCAGATACAGACAGTCGTTTACCGTCAGGTAAAATATTCACATGTTCTATACATACAATGTTTCAAGAGAATTTTCAAAACTATGCTTTATTGTATCTTAAAGTATGAGTCATTAAAAATCAACAAGATCTATAGTTGATTTTATTAGCATAGAATTTTTCTCATTTTCTTTTCTCATAGATATTCAATTGCATCATGTAAACGATAAGTATAGGAATGCTAAAATCCCTTATATCAATATCTCGTCCTCACATTTGATTCCTTCGCTTTTATTGCGTAAATTAGCACTACACTCATTAAAAAATTATTTAGATTTAACAAAAGATGATGAACGTTATTGTCACAATCATAAAGTATCAAAAATAAGACAAAATATTTATAGTAGTCCAGAATTATTATTATACTGTTGTACTGTTAAAAATGAGAAAAATGCAAATAGCAAAACAACAAAAAGAAAAACACAAAAACTCGTAACAAAAATACGTATAATGGCATACTGCTGTACCGCTAATTGGTTCTGCTACTAAGTTAATCTCATAGATAAAGTCATAAATTAATTAATCACGCGTTAATTTTATTGCAAATTAATCACTTCAACTTTTTTACTTTGTTGTTTTTTCAAAACTGTTTTTTCAAAACTGTTTTTTCAAAACTTTCAAAAGCTATTTTAAAAATTTAACATGATAAGTTATTTCTTTGTTTTTGTTATTTTTTATTAAGGATCGGCCACACCAAAATCCCCAACAGTACGTTCTCCAACTATAAGTGGATCACCATCAGCATCGGCACACAACAGTGATACAGAATATGATCCTAGGACACCAGGTAAGTTGTTTTTTATATACTGTTATAATAACAATAAGAAAACAGTGTTTATTTCCAAAAAGAGTGAGATCATCGATGAATACTGACTTGTAAACAGCTCATCATTGCCACGCTAACAGAGCAATATCCAGAAACTGAACAAAAAAAAGGAAAGCGAAAATATGAACAAACAAAAAACAAATGCGTGACAAATACTTAAAACATCGTTACTAGAGAGAGTGAGAGACAAAGCTTTCCGCCATTTAAAACACTTGATAACTGATTTTGCAAGGTTATTCCAATCGATTACTGCAATATAGAAAAAAAATGAAACTGTTTATCAAAGAAGACCAGATTTAGAGCGAAGATTTGTAGTGAGGAGATGAATACAATAAACGAAAGAAAAAGGACTGAACTGTGAGTGAATTTTGAAATACTTGCGTTCAAGGATCTGGGGGTATTGCTAAAAGACGCGAACACCCACGAACGTCCCCAAATTAAAATCTGAGTTAGCCAATCGATAGAGCTCGTCGAGCTGGGTATAGCAATCCCTAACGAACACCCCAAATTTTTTTTATAGTTGCGCTTTTTAAGCATACATTTTGAATGAACATCCACGAACACAAGGAAGAAAGGGTAAGAACACCCAAAAAAGTGCGCCAAATTCATCTTCAGGTTATTCTGAGCTGAGGGTGTGTGAGGGTGAGGGTGAGGTACTGGTAGGCTCACCCACATCTCACCCTCAGCCGAGAATAACCTGGAGATGAATTTGGTACACTTTTTTGGGTGTTCTTATCCTTTCTTCTTTGTGTTCGTGGGTGTTCGTAGGTGTTCGTGGATATTCGTGGGTGTTCATTCAAAATGTATGCTTAAAAAGCGAAACTATAAAAAAATTTTGGGGTGTTCGTTAGGGATTGCTATACTCAGCTCGACGAGCTCTATCGGTTGACCCCTCTAACTCAGATTTCAAATATCACTAGCAGGTTACGTATAATCAAGAAGCAAGAATAGAAAGAGAGAAAAAGCTATCTTGCAGCATACAGCAATAGTCCTTGGAAGAATGTAAGAGAAAAAGATTCAATGTCGAGTCTCAGAGATTGCTAACTAAAGATACGTCCTACGACGCCGAATGTGATAAAAAGCAAAAGAACTTAATAACCTATAACGAGGAGGAAGAGACAGAATAGTTCATGCGTACACATTGGAAACCAAGAGGTAAACTGAGCATCTAGAGCCGAGGCAAAAAAATATTTTTTGCCGAAGAAATCAAGAGAAGTTAAAGAGACAATATCAGTTACACAAAAGATCGTCCAAATTGTTTTTGGAATCTATTACGCAACTTCAACAAGAGCACAAACAGAACAGAAAAAAGTTTAAAAATTTGCAGCGGATGTTGCGAGTTCGTCGTATCGACTTTGTTCTCTACTCATGAGAGGATATACAGGTGACGCATTTTCTCACCTGCGATTGGTGTGTTAAGGTTTGTGTCTTGAAGCGATTTAGTGTCAAAAACTGCGTTTAGCTTTTTCCGATAAGATATTCTCTTCTATTCTAAATATGTTTGTTTATTTAATTTAAGAATTGTCTGCGTATAATACTCGTTCACCTATAACTGGACCTAGAATGGCTCATAAAATTCAACACAAGTACGTAGATGAATTGTATGACTTGATGTTTTGCTTTTGCATTCATTGCCATTTATCGCTTTATGAGAATATATTTTAAACGAGTAACGTTATCACTTTGATCGTTTACCATTGATCATTACATAATTCTTCTAAAATCTTGTTTGATTTGCTTCTTTAAATATGCGCTTGCTTCTTTTTCACATCTACCGAATGTTTTTCAAAGAGTAGAATTAGTCATCACGAGTATTTAGGGAAAATCATCGGAGATCGACGATGAATAATTAGCAATAAATTTGGATTAAGAAAAAACTATATAAAATTAACTAACATGAACTTCCCATTGCTTGTTTCAGAGAAAAATAAGTTTTTTCTGTAGTCATTTTAGAAAGCTGAGGGAATTACACTATCTGTCTTTCAAACGACTGCATATCTCTGGTCTTTTCTCCTTTTCAGCAATTATTTTTTTGGTTTTCAATAATGCTTACATAATTTAATTCGTCTGTGCTTATCGTGACCGCTTAACTAAATAAAAGGTTGTTGGTTTATGTATTTTTGTGATTTGAGGTGTTTGTGCTCTAAAAAGTATATATTCAACAGAATATATTTTCGATACATCTACAAATGTATCCAACAGCCATGATAAAACATTAGTCATTCAATTTTTTAAGGTGGAGTAGTCTTCTCAAACTGTCAACATGCAATGTGTGTACAAGAAAAATATTCTTTCTTGGTTCAAAATGTAATATTTGCAAGTAAGATCATTGTTGTGATTGTTAATGTTTAAACAAGGATAGAGAATATTCTCGACCAAAGTGTGTATGTGTGAGAGAGTGCGTGATCCTCATGGATTTTTTATATTTAATTAGAATATTTACGTTCGATGTTTTTTGAAACTCAGTTATTTTTCATGAGTAATTTGAACTAACGGATTAACTTTTAAGTTCCTTTTTATAGTTTAACGTTTTTTGAGTCTGACTTGATTTTATCATCAATAATTGGTACTTTTCTTTTCAATCTTTCTTCTTATGCTTTCCATTTGACGAAAAATATTCGCGTCGCTTTGTTCATCTTTTTCCTACCCAACCGCGCTTTGCTACCATAGCTCTTTCAGATATTAAATTAGCTTGTTCACAAACATCTGATGAAATTTCATTCTCTTTAAAAAGACAATTTCAACTGGACTTCTGTTAGCTCTCAAGTTAAAAAAAAACACGGAAAACATTTGTCATCCTCTAGAACTCATAAAACAGCATCACCCGGACTGTTTTTTCACGGTCCTGTATTTCGACTCATTGACACTCTACTAATCGTGTCAGTTACTTACAAATTAATTATTGTGAAAGCTCATTTTACAGAGAATGAAATTTCAAAAAAATATTTATATTCTGATCAGTCTTTATTAATGATTGATGATGTATTATGTTATTTTTCACAGGTTCGAAAGGCCAAGAGTATTCAAATTTTCTTTCTGCGATATTTGTAAGAAACAAGTGTTTAGGGGATACCAGTGTTCATTTTGCAAGTAAGAGAGCATGAAAATTGAAAATGATGTGCTGATTTATATAAACGAAACGAAAACAACTATTTGTGACTGTGAAAGAATGTGCATGGTATCAAGTGTATTTGATTTGTGTGTGAATGCTAAATGAATGAATGGAGTGAATGCGTATTAGTATCTGCTAAAGCCCATCTCTGAGCACAGTAGTTTTTTTTTCTTGTGTTTAACGTATTCAATTGACAGTAACACTTAGTTTCGTTTATTAACAGATACAAGTGTCATAGAGAATGTGTACAAAATGCTCCACCTAATTGCGGTTTAAATGAAATGAAATTGAGACGTTATATTGATAATTCAGAAATACAAAATGCATTTGGTAAACGTACTCTTTTAGCATCTTTGTTTAACCATGTGTTTGTATTTTGTTTTCAATTTTTTTAGCTAATTCAAGTCCATATACTCGTAAACATCATTTTACACGTATGAAAAAATAAAAAGAGCAACCAATATGCTTTAAAATCTTTGAAATCTGTATAATAATATAATGATGCTATTATGATCAATCACGATAAAAAAATACAGGACAACGATATCTGCTGTTGTTGCTATCTATCATCATTAGGTTGCAATAGTTTAGAGCTGAGCGAGTATCAATTCTTGTACTCAGTACTTGCACTTGTACTCGAGGATCAGATACTCAATCTCAAGGAAATCCCTAGCTCTGTAATGATTATTTATCATTAAAAGTTTTCTTTAAAAGTCCGGATCAGAAGTGTCTGGTCGGACTGCCTTCAACAGCATCTCTTAGCTTTTTTTAACTTCGACCAAACACTATTGCCATAGAAATGATCAGTCATCCCTTAAAGTAGATATGTGAAGGTCAAAACTAGGCATCCATAAATTTTATCCATAAATCTCTACTATCGCCGTAAAATTTCCATTTCATGTGGATAGAGATTTATGGATAAAATTTATGGATGCCTAGTTTTGACCATATGTGAATTAGAAACTAGTTCTTTTTTAATTAGAAAGTACATCTCAACACACTTTTATATTAATTTTTAACATAAATCTTGAACACATTAACTGCTGTTGATAGCTGATGAAATAATTCTTACCTTTAAAGAAGGTGTCTTCTCGAAGATCAAAACTTCCTAAACAGTAGAATTATTGCTTAACGAAGTTCAATGGTAATTTACGTTATCAAACTTGATTTTTTTAAAATGTCAAAAACGCTCATAAATTGCGTTGATGTTTAATGAGCGGAAAAAAATTTCATGTTATGCAGATTTCATCGAACGAGAGATCTTCTATCTTTTAATAAGTTACATATAATAATTTAGCATCGGATAGTACCAGTCCAACTTCGTCAACGCCTATGTCGGCGCCAGGTAGTCCTGCACCAAATCCAACATTATCCTATTATAATTTTAATGCAACAAACCCACCGATTTGTGTTAGTGAATCAATCTATTGCAGTAAGTAGATGAGGTCTGATCGTGTGTATATAAAAAAGAAAGTAAACTTAAAATGAAAAAGAAAAAAAATATTTAGTGATGGAGAGAAATGGGAATGGTGCTACCCTCTGTTCTCCAGTTTTACAGTACTGTATCAAATTGAAAAAACCCGTCTGTGAGTAAAGATGGCGGGGTACAATAGTTTAAATTATTTGGTGACATATTTCTATTATTTTTCTTTTTAAAAGCTGTCCCGCTCGTACAACTGCTCAACCATAGCTACAGTTGACTCTTTTTCTTTTTGGTAATAAACAATTTTTGTTTATAGTTTGCAGACAAACTTGCTCCATTATGATTTATTTTAATCAGACATTTTGTGCTGCTTGTATTCTCTCTTCGAGAGAGTGAAAAACGACATCTTCCAAGATAGAATTAAGAATATTACCTTTTTTTAGCTCAAAACGATTCTGATACCTGGGTTGTTATCGAGACAAGTAAAGTTGTTCAAGGTAGGTTACAGAAATCATTAATTATTGGCTATGTTTTGTTGTAATTGTCGGCTTATTGTAATTTATTGTAAAAATTTACTTGGATAATCGAAATGTAAAAACAAATCTGCCATATACAGCGTTTTCTTTATATCTATGCTATAATTATACATAATCAGCTCTACTTTCCCTGACTAAGCTTAGAAACTTTTTGGTTTTATCATTTGCTGTTGCTAAAGCTAGTGGCGGTGATATTTCTATTTTTCATCTTTTTAAAACTGTCATGCTCGTACAAAGGACACAACTTTTACTTTTACGAAAGATTGCATGTGCATAATTATAGTTTTTTGCTTTTATCAGTTTAATAACGTTTATTACTAGACAAATCTACGTTAGTTTGAAATCTCTTCTTTCTATTTGTTTTCATTTTAGAACTTCCCGAATCGCAGTCCGACAGCGATACAGGGTATATATCATGCTCTTCTCCGTTGAGGATATTTGATTTAAATTTATTTTTGTCTTTAGTTCTAATGCTCATACAGATACAATAGGAACAACTGTTTCTACTTTGACAAATGGATCAGAAGCATCTCTCTCACAACCACAACAGGTAAAAATCTGGTACTTTTGACTAATAGCACAATGAAAATTTGAATATAAATATATTTGTTTAGATTGAACATCATCCGAATCGTGATCATTTATTAAAATTAAATCTTTTTGTTAATTCATTTGATGATGATGAGGCTGATCCAGAAAAACGAAGCATTAATGTAATTTATTTTGAGTATTATTGCAAATGATTGATAATTATTATAAGAAAATGCTTATTTATTTTTAGCTTGCAACATCTCTACAAGATTGGGTCATCATTTTTGAACATATTAAAATAATTGAAGAAGTCAAACGATCATCTGGCACATTACTTAAGTAATACATATACGTTAATCTTAATTGCTCAATGATTCTATACCATAATTTTCTTTCTCTAGAGCTAATTGGCATGGTGAATGTGCTGTTCGAACAATTAAACCTGATCCTAATCAGTCTGAAATTAAATTTCTTGATCGTTTTAAATCACAAGTATTTCGTTTAAGAAAAGTTCGTCACGAATATCTTAATCTATATACTGGTGTATGTATTGAAACACCTAATCTTGCACTGGCATCAAAGTATGTTCTGAAAGATTCTGTTTGGTTTTTTATTATAAATAATTATGCGTCAACGTTGTTATGTTTTCTTCCAGTTGGATACGTGGAACAAATCTTTATGACATGATACATACACGAAATGATAGTATACCAATAAATTTAGCCGTACAATATGCAGGACAAGTAGCGCAAGCAATGAGTTATCTCCATGAAAAATCAATTAATCATATGTCATTAAGAACAACAAATATTTTTGTTCAAAATAATCGTATTGTTTTGACTGATTACGGTCTTGTACCATTAAGCAAATGTTATAGGTTTCTCAAGTATGTAATATATTAATTTAGCCTGTGCTTGCTATTGACATGTTTTTATTCTAATTTATTCTAGAGAGAATAATGGTCTTCTTATTACACCAAGAGGATGGCTCAGTTATTTAGCTCCAGAAATATTGAGAAAACTCGATCCAAGAGATGAAAATTCAATACTTCATCATACTCAAAAAACAGATGTTTATGCTTTTGGGTACGTAAATTAAGAAAAATCATAAATAAATAGAGAAATAAACTTTTTTTTGTTTGTTTTTTCGTTTAGAACTGTATGGTATGAATTATTATTTCGTGAATTCCCATTTGCAAAACAGCCACCAGAATACATCATATGGAGAGCTGGCAATTCACTCAAACAACCATTATCAAGTGTACATATAACAAAAAATACTAAAGTATGAGTCTTTCGTTTCAAAGTTCAATAGATAATTAATATTTCAATTGTACACAGTTCAATATCTAATATAACCATTATTTTTTAATATATTTTAGGATATTGTTCATCAATGTTGGTCTTATTTGCCAACTGATCGTCCCGATTTTTCAAGTCTGAATAAGATGTTAGCAAAATTACCCGGTAAACGAACGTTAGTTCGAAGTCCATCAACGCCATTACAATCTCAAGCAAGACAAGATATAAATAGTATATGAAAATAATCTCTTTCATTCCATTTGCATTCCTTTGTAAAGTGTTTTTTGTGCTACCGGATCTTTCTTTTTCTCATTCTTAATTGTACAAATAACCACCAGCAACAGGGATTTGTTTATAGTTTGCCTATTTATTGTTGTTGACGATGTTATCTCATCTAAATGTTTCATTAACAGTAGCTACTGTGCGTGTTCTGCGTCAATTGAAGTGCAATAAAAAAAAAGTCGAAAATTTATACGATCGACAATTCTTTTAGTCTCGTTTTTTTTTGTATTTTTCTGATAAAAACACGTATTTCATTTTCTATTTTTTTCTTCATCTCTATTTATTTGTTGTGAAAAGATTGAGAGCTTCACACATATCTTTTTCTGTTGCACTCTACGTACGCACATTGCAAAAATAACCTCGTCTCTTTTCTATTAGAAATACGAAAGCATTCATTTTTAGTACTTTCGTTTTTATACAAGTGCAATTTGTTCTATTTCTTTTGATTCATTAAATAATGAGTTCATACGTGTCGTTGTTGTTTTTATACTTATTCTCTCTATTTTAACATTTATTTTTATAATACAATACCGAAGAATAGTTTCACTCTGTCTTGATATAGGTTATAAAAGAAAAATATTCATCTTCACACCAGTCATCCTTATTTTCATACAATTCTGCTCTTAAGTAATCAATATTTATTTCCCGAATGACAATAATTCTCTATTATTGTTTTTTATGTTTGGTTAAATGCTTTTTACAGCAAGAAAATAGAATAAAAATGTTCAACACATTATTTTATTACCAATTTCAAACATAACATATAATGACTACATAAAAGAAGAAAAATGATTGAAACGCAAAAAAAACAGAATCATATAACTATTAACGAAGCAAATAATCAAATTTAATACAAAAAGATTTGTTATCAGTAAAACAATAAACTTCATTCTTCTTTTTAAGCAACTAAAAAAGAAATTTTGCACTTGTGTCAGACTTGTAACCGGTAACAGCGAATGACTAGGCCATTTTGTTCTGGTAAGACTTTTCAGAACGGTCGCTCTAAAAAATAGGTTTTAACTACTTCTGAGCTTTTTCTTGAATAAAATTAGTCTTTCACCATGGAAAAATGGAGAATATAGAACGGCCGTTCCATTTCGGTAGAGAACTTTCATAACGGTGCCATTCCCCTTCTAAGAATTTTGGAACGGTTATATCTCTGACTTGTATGACTAGAAATCAACATGTACAAATAACTATTTACACTCCATGAAGCTGAGGATATAACGATGGCGTAGATTGTATGGGTTGTTGATTGTGCGATACATTGCTAGATAATGAAAATGGATGTGTGTCAATTTCATCTATGGCTTGTTTAAAAACATCATTAAATATAAAGTCTTTAAACCGTTTTGCATAAAAATTTGGTTCAACAATTGAACGATTATCGACAGCTGATTGATCTTGTATCGTTTGAAGTTGACGTTGCATTACTTTACAAATATCGAAACTAGATGAAAAAAATAATGGTAATATTTAGAGCGAAACGAAATTTCTATCCCATACTCACGTTTGCAGTATATCTAGAATGGCGATAAAAAGTAACAAATGTTCTCCTTTTTCATTCTTGGCTGGAATTCCACCATATTGTCTAACTTTTGACGTATCATATGTATTGTTTGATGATGAGCCTGTTTCGAGAGTTTTAATTGATTTTCCATATGGTTTTTTATCTTTTCCATTTTCGTCAATAATTTGTGAAATTCCTGACAAAAATGTGCCTCTTGCTGATTCAATTAAATGTTCAAAAGGTCTAACACGTTTTCGTTTAACAGGATTATCTATATTGTGAATAACTAGAAAACAGAAACTAACCTTTAGCATTATTATGCATATCAATGTTCCAAAAGTGTTACCTAATAGCATAGAATAATCCATAATATTTTGACTTTCTAAAAATTCAACATCATGTGTTACAACATCTCGTAAATGTTGATAAATACTATACGAAAGTTCTAAACCGTTTGGATGTAGATCACGAAAATCGTTATCTTTGAATGTTGTATGTTCTTTTCTTAACAGAAAATAAAAAAGGTATAATAGACCATCGTTTAAAAATTTTCACATTTACCGCTTTTCAGCTACATCTGCATCCCGTCTAAAAGTACTTCCTTTTAAATCATATTTTTCATGTATTTGTAATTTTGGCGGAATAAAATTTGAGAATATGGCAAAACGAAGTGTAAACGCTTCCAAACTCAAACCTAACTTTTCTTTGGGAATATAGGGAATATAGCCAAACATGCCAAATAATTTTGTAATAAATGTTTCTGGCTGTTTTTTAATATATCCAATGTATTCAGATAAAAATTTTTGTTGAATAAACTTCGCTTCGTAATCTCGAACGGTTTTAATAATAAATTTACTATCAGCTGTAATATATAATAACGATCCACTTTTTGCTGAAAAAATAAAACAAAAAAATCAAACTATATATTTGAAAATATTCCAGTACAAGTTTTCTTCTACCTGGATTAACTATTTCTCGTAGATCACCACTTTTAACAATACTATCACGCAATATTTGTGGATTAATACCATAAATATTTATCAAATAAGAGAAGTCATTGAGTGCATAAGCTTCACAATCAAAATCTGGGTAGGTATGAGGCGGTGTATTTTTATCACTATCGCCGATAGCTGGAAATTTGACACGTTCAACAATTTCAATATTACCTGTTAAACCTCTCTTATAGGGATTTTGTTCAAGATTTTGTTCTAGATAATATCCGATACCTATTTGTAGAGCATTTCGAATATGTTCCATATGTACAATACCATTGGCTAATAATTTTTGTAATATCATTTGTTTTGACAGAGCGATACTGGTATCTGTAATACTTGATATACTTTCTTGTATACGATGCACTACGTGTTGACTTTTTTCAAATAAGCCTTGTGCAATATTTCCAGTCATAGCTTTATAATTTTCACGTGATGGTATAGACGATAATCTATCGTCTACAAGAAATAGACATTGATTAAATTTTTGTCGTAACATTTTAAAATGAAATTGGTTAAAAAAGTTAGGTCTATCTCTCAAAAACGTATACTTTTCTTCTCATTGATGTAAGAATCCACGCGTTTAACTTCCTGTGTTTAAGTGATTAATAAATGCACACACACACATATAGGAGAAAAAATAATAGTGATAAGGGAAAAAAGGTATATTTACCCACATACAAATCTACATCTAGCTCTTCGAAGAAAATGCAATCATAGATAAATACTCATTTTCTCTAATGACAAATACCGCTGAAATATGAATATTGTCAATGAGTCATTCATTCAACCTGACTAGGTTGCATTTTAACAAAACGTATCCGACAACTTCAACGTTGTTGTGAAGAACGAGAAAGAATCATAAAAAAGAAACATCATTCATCTGATAGAAAAAAATGTAACAGTTGGTAAGACAAAGCTGCTTCGTCAAATTACAATTATTTTCATATTTTGATTGCTGTTCTCAGTAGGATTAGCGAGGGTTGCACAAGGCAGTTCTGTACTATGCGTATCAAATCGATTCATGCACCTAGACTATCTTTTCTAGGGTAGTTTTTTATGTGCTAAGTAAGTAATTTACTCCTTCAAATGCTTATTACTGACATTTCACAAACGGTCAACAATTTTCTCTTCACCCTTATTCATGCTTTATTTAGCTATAAATGCAGAGATGCCCCACTCGAGATGAGTAAGGTGGAAACCGATTCATAAAAAGTCCTAGACCCCTGTTTTGGATATTCTTTGAATATGTGGTACTCCAAAAATAAGTTACAGTGATATGGAGATTTTTGCAGCGTTTGGATCCGATTTGATTTAACTTCTTCCTGCTTTTATGACCTCCTGGTACTTCTGTATAAATGACATAAATCTTTCAGAGATGTCAGAATATCAGTACGCAGTGTATTCTGAAAAAAAGACTATTCCCTAGACTTGCTGGGCTTGGTGTATTCTCAGTGACAATACACGAGATTATACCAGAATACGCAAATATATAAATTTCTATAAAATGTGCTGGGCTCGGTGTATTCTCTTTGAAAAAAATAGTCGCTTTTTGAGAATACACTGCGTACTGATATTCGGACACCCCTCAAATCTTTCAGTGAAATTTGCTCGCGATTTATATTCTGAACGATCAACAGCAAAAACTAACAATGTCATTAGAAATTCAATACTAAAAACATCACTAGCAAAATGATTCACTACACCCACCACCTGCTAATGATTAATTTTATAAAATAATCATATGTATATTCATACTCATACAAATATGAGTGATTCTGATAGAAATTGTATCGTTGTAATAACGTAAATGGTCCCAAGCGTTTCTTCTCTTAGTCTCGATGAATCACTTCCGGACTTCTAGCATATATTCATCAACGCTCGGCTTATAATCGCTGCAAGTACGACTTTTCTATGCTCAACCATGAACGAGTTATAAGCAAAAGATCCATATTTGACCTTTATTTTGGTGTTGTCATTCTGCTGATTCAGATATGCTTGGTTTTGTAAATGTTATTTTTTCTGTTATTTTATTTGACCAAATATGTAGAATAGACAACAGCAAAAATCCGACGTTTCTATCGCTTTTCACTACCAAGTAATTCCCACTTTACTGAAGTTATGTGAGGTTTGACTGACAATTTGTCCCGTAACCACCTACTATGCCACGCCTCAACCGGGCTTGAT